TAGACTAGAAAAGCACTTAAAATAGCAGAATAAGCAAACTGAGAGGGAGCTGCAGCTGGTTCTCCAATTACTAGGTATTGTTTAAAAATGAATATTCAACTCAAAATCCCTCAGAACATTTGTACTCTCAAAGATGACTTAGACTGTAGTTGAAAGATTCATACTTTAAACTACCAAATTTAAGTTATTCAAATAGCTGAAAATAAATACTTTCAACAAGAAGGAGATAAGATGATGAAAACCAGAACAGAGGGAAGTATTACCACAGTATTTTCTACAGTAATTTCTATGGACTATAGAACTAACCTCTCAAGTTTTCTCATCTGAAAGTCCAAACACACACAGGATGCTAGAACAGCTCTGTTACCAATCTGTGTTAACTGCCCATGTGTGAATATTTGCTTAGAGTGAGTATGAACTCCCTGAATTATTGGTATTAATAACATTGACACTGAGAGAATCTTGCAAAATCAACTGCAGGGGAAAAGATGATTAAGAACTCTGTGCTAGTGAGGAACATATTAAAAGCTCAGAAATTCTTATACATGTACACACACACCCCATTACAGGGTGATGTTTTTGTATATTACAGTACCTATTTTCATCTTGCCTGTATGCTTAACATAGTTGACGGTGAAAGAACTACTAATAGACAGAAAATTAAAGGAGTAAAGAGTAAAACACTAAAAAAGCTTTATGTAAACATGATGGTCAGCAATGGTTCACAGCAACATTTTAGGAAATACCTGAGTAGATAAACAGCCCTTTCAATATCACTGAGTTCTTCATCAACTGTCAATCTTTCTATTTCTTCTGGCGTCTGTCAAGTGTGAAATAGAGATTATGAGTTTGCAATGCCTGACTACTTCACTGTTTTAGTCTTAAAACAACCCCTTTCTCCCCACACATAGAGGGAGAGCTTCATGAGTAATCTGAATTTAGTCATGAAACCTCTAGCCAACATTTCAAATTCAATCAAATAAATCTTTCACCAGGAAAAGATGGAATGTCAGAGAAGTACAGTTTCAAGTCAGACACTATCACTGTTAAACAAGTGGCATATAATTTCATCTAAAGACCCAAGCTAGTCTATGTGTTCCCATCTCAATAATATATTGAAAACATCAAATCCCTGATATATAGAATTGGAAATTGTTTATTCTAAAATGACTGACGACAATGTTTCATATCCTGGTGCTGTTAAAAAAAAAAAAAAACACAAAAAAACACAAAAAAACGGTCTATTCGGTTATTTGTGCACAATTAAAACAGACACAATTTAAAATGGATTTTAAAGCACCGTTCTTTTTCGAGGTTATACCTTCAGGCTCCTGCGTACTGGCCTCTCTATAATAGTTAGTTCCTGCAGGTCTTCTATGTATCCAAAAAGACTGCTATGACTAAAATCCATTTTGGAGAAGATTACTGGGCGCATGTACCAACTAAAGCCTTCGGCAGCCGACGCTGTCCCCGAGCCTCACATCGCCCCGAGGGCGGCAGGAGGGAAGCCCCGGCACTCCCGCGGCCGGCAGCAGCCCCGGCCCAGCGCACACTGCGGCAGCGCCGGCCGCCGCCGCCCCCGCCCGCCTCCCGCCGCCAAACTTTCCGCTCCGCCCGGGCGGGCAGGCGGCGGGGCCGGCGCCCGCAGCCCCCAGAGCCCGCTGCGGCCGCTGGTCCTCGGCGGGCGGGAGTTCCCAGCCAAGTTTGCCCTCGGCGCTGGCCACCCCTGACCGCAGCGAGGGCGCGGGAACCGGGGTGACCCGGGCGCCAGAAGGGCCGGGCGGAGCCCTCAGCGGCGGGGCAGGAGGGCAGGGCAGGGCGCTGAGCGGAGCGGAGCAGCCCCGCCGCGGTGCCCGGGTGCCGCCTCCCCGCCCGCCCCGGGAGGAGGGACGGTCGCTGCGGTGCAGTGACGCTCCCCGCCCCCGTCCCGCGGCGCAGCCCCCTCGGCTCCCTCGCCGGGTGAGCGCCGCAGCCCCCAGCCGGGACAGCTCCAGCCCCGCCGAGCCGGTCTCCGGGGCAACGCGGCGCTCCCGCGGCCTCCGCGGGGCAGGGCAGGGCCGGGCGCGGCGGCGGCGGGAGGAGCGGAGGCGCGGCCCCCTCAGCGCCCGGCCCCGCGCGGGGCTGCGCGGCCGCGGGCCGGCCTGGCCTCGCTCGGCTGCAGCGCCTCGGCCGCGGCTCCTCCGCCCCTCCCCTGGGAGCGTCGGACCCCCGCCCGTATCACCCGTCTCACAGCTGGGCCACAGCAGAACTACACCGGAGAAACTGAAACAAGTGCTGTTTTTAATGAAAAGTCCAACACGGGTTTCCCCCCCCAATGAACGCTTTTATATTAATGTTTAAAAAAAAAATTACTTATTTGGCAGTAAACTGTGTAATTCTGACGAAGACATCACTTACACTCTCCATAAATTCTCATTCTTCACCTTCTGCGTGCTAGACCCAGGTTACACACCCTCACACTCACAGCAGCAGCAGATTCCTATAGGGATAGTTTTCCTGATATATGCAATTAGGCCTTGGATGCCTTCACCATTTTATCTCACAAATGTGGATTGCCTTGGGGGCTTAAGGGAGAGTACTTTTTTCAAAATAAAAGTATGCTAATTACCTCTGATTCATATTCAAATAAGCATGGATAATATTCAAAAACTTAGTAAGAGAGCTTCTTTTGGGGTAGGTTAGTGATGCAAAATGCATACAAGACAAGAATCATCATACAGAGTTAGACTCAGCATTTACTGACATAAGTAATTCACCAGACCTCTAGACAGCGGCCTTTGCAATGTTTATCTAAACACAACAGCCACACTAAGACCAGAAATTTAAAAACCTGTAAATATTTCACAAGGGCTTATTTGAGGGGTGTGATGTTTTTTATCCCTGGGAAATACCCACGTGACCAGGTAAGTTTTGTTTATAAATAAGATTAAAAGTAATTCCAGAAATCATAAAGATTATATGATACTATGTGGTATATTACCCAGAATCTTATATAATTTTTATTCTGTGACTGGCAAGCACCTCAGCTTTTGTTTAGCAAGAAAAAATAAACATTGTCCCCTACATGTTACTTCTCTGTCTACCAGTTAGGCTAAATCCTATGCTAAGATAAACCAGTAAAACATTAAAAAATTAGAGGATCTCCATTAATTTCAAATGTACAACAGAATTGTTTGCAGAAAAATCTAATCCAATTTACATATAAATAATTAAAGTGTTATGTAATATAAAACAAAAACCATTTGGAATTGTTAAGGCCTGATGATGAATTAAAATGAGAAACACTCTTCTGAACATCTCCTTTGCAAAATCTTTTTAACCAGGGAGCATCATTAGACAGCAAATACAATGAATAGTTGTAACTGAACCTAACCTCTTGGAGTAGGTAAGGAACTAGCTCTACAAGAGGAAATAAAAGAAGAGTTTTAAACAATGTTCCCTCCTCAAATATAGAGTCCTGGCATGCAGGCTTCTGCCAATGATAAGTATCAGGAAAACATACTGAAATCCCAAACACAGTTAGTTAGGAAAATCCTTTTGCAAGTTCTTTCACAGCCAATCTGTGGTTATTTCACCTTGCAAGTAGTTCTCATGAATCACAGAGATCTTCTGAGATCAAAAGTACTTTCTTTTGAATGCCTTGAACTAGGAACTCAATGCAGTTTTTAAACAAGGAATCCAGAATTCAGTTTTAAAGACTGAAAAACACAGAGTTTAAATATGCAATTAGGCTGATTTCTCATGTTATATTTTACATAAACTTTATAAGCCACTAAGGAAGAGAGTTTTGTGTAAACATTTAGAAAAACATCTTTTCCTTACAGCCTTTAAAAACCTGTCTTTCTAACTAAGTTCAGAAAACACTGAGCAGACATGATTCCCATTAACTTTAGAATCTATAGATATGTCAAAGAGATCTACAAATATCCCTGGAAATGTGAAAAGCAGATTTTTTTTTTTTTAATACAGTACTGGACTAGAATAAAGAACACAGAAGGAATTAGATTAAATATAAACAGATCTCATTTTGACCCACACATTTGGCAGAAGAAAGAAAGCTTACATGTATTGTTTCAAAACCACATACATAAAAATGAATCCCCTCTGATAGTAAACCTGCAGGCAAGTGGTCTCTCATTCTCATCTGTGATGAAAGTCACGTATGGCTTCCCTTCCACTGCTGCTGCTTTCAGCTCCTCCCTTTTCCACTCCTCTCTTCTCTCAAATAAAACTCTACTCTCAGCTTCATTCCAACCTTGTCATAGCTATTGTATTCAAGAATCAAGAGCTATTTCATGCTGCTTTAGTGAAATCCAGGGTGAACTGGAACCTTCATTTGAACACAGGAGCTGTGTAACCTTGGAAAGACAGTACCAGGCTGATTTCAAATCAGCATTCCTTGAGGAAGACAGCGGCAGAGCACTGGGAAAGTGGCACCCATACCTAGTGGAAAAAGAGTGTTATTCATGCCTTCTAAAGCAACGAGCTCTAAATTCAATCCAGGTAAAGATTAAAAAAAAAAAAAAGACAACACAGATGGAAGGACTTTGTACCTGAAGGATCCTTCAGGTACTCTGACTCTACCTAAGGATTCTGGGGTGAAGTGATTTGTCAGATTGGACAGATGCAGTTTTCCTTTGCTACCCAGCAGTGAGGAGTCTGCCTTCTGGAAACTGTTCTTACTGTACCTGTTTACCAAAATAACCTACCTGCAAATTAACCTATTCACAGAGAAACTGAAAACTTGTGAGGTCTCGGAATGTATCACAATGCCTGAATCAGCTGAAATATGAAGGAACTGGTGTGGGGGACACAGAAAGACATGCCAAGAAATGCTTTCAGGCAAAACGTGCATGCTCCTGATTAAGAGCCAGAATTTCTCACGCAATAGCCAAACCAAAAAAAATAAGGAAAAATTCAGCAAAGTAAATTTTAATTACATTGGGGAAAAAAACAAAAAAAAAAAAAACAAAAAAAATGAAATCATTCTTTATCTCCCATTTTCTCTCATTTAATAGTCCAAAGAAAAATAAATACCATTTCATAATGTACATGATGTAGGTTATGCACTGTGTAATTACGGTTCTGCTCAAGACTCAGCACCTGAAGTATGCAGAAGTTCAATTTACAATTTTGTCTGTTCACCACCACTGAGAGACAGCCAAGGCTGCAGCAGCTGTCACTCACCATTTCCAAATGAGCGACCTCTGACTGGAATTGGTTTTTATAGCCCACCAGACTCTTAAATTGCAATTTTGATGTTCAGTCTAATCCCTTAGCCTCACAAAACAAGGTTGTTTTTATTCCATTTGTACTCCAAGTAAAAACATAGCCATGAACAGTGGTTCTTCAGAAAATCTCTGTGTCAAGGCAAACCTGTAGCAAGAATAATATAAAAGAAACATGCTCAAAAATATGAATCTACTTCAGAACAATGCTTGAATGTAGCACACACAAACCTCAGTAGAAAAAAGATATTATTTAGCGTATTTTCCAGTTTGTTGCTAAGAAACTGTTGCTTCATTTCACTATTGTCATTTGCAGAAAAATTTTGATTGTTCTTTTGCAATTCCAGTCATCTCATTGTAACAGCTATATAAATAAATGAATTATAAAGGGAAAAGCACTGGATTGTGTTCCATGTGTTTTCATCTGTAGCCTAGTCTCCCATATTCTTTCCTGTAACTTATTTCCCTCCATTAAGATCTAAAAAATCAAATAGATTATTTTACAAGAACACAGAAAAGATCCTTAAATTTATTTTTATAGAATGTATAAAATCTGTAAGATTGCAGTAATTGTGCTCACCCTGTCCTTCTCTAAGAACTAGTAATGTGCTCCTACAGTGTCTAATCTGCTGCCCTCTGTCCAAAAGTAGTTTAAAGCACATGCAAAAAGATAGAATAACAACAGAGAAAACAGAAAATGTTGTTCTTCTTCAGATCTTCTGGCTATTTATATGATTTTTTTTACCTGGCAGTAGGACCTAATACTCAACTACTTACAAAGTTTAAATGAATGATTTTCTATTGTAAAAACTGAAACTTCCTCCATACGAGGAAGCTGATGAGTCCAGTTCCTTGCTATGACAACCATGAACACTGTCATACTCATGTCAAATATTATATTAAAACTAACAACTTCTTGTCTTCTTTACTCATTAGTTGCCATAGAAACTTACGATTTCCTACATAAAATTACTGTTGGTGAGTTTTCCAAGTTTCTTCTTGTGCTAGTGTCCTTTACTTTATTCTTCCTTTCCTGGTATTTAAAGACTGCAGTCATATCTGCTCCAATCCTGGATTAAAAAAAGCTAAACTCAGAATTTCGTTTTTCACTCCTAAAACAGGCTCTTTATTCTCCTGACCACCCTAGCAATTCCCGTGGCATCTGCTGCACTTTGACTTCACTTCTGTTGAATTAAAGTGATCAGAATATAGTATTTAAAATAAAAAAATATCTAGGAAATAATGCCGCTTGCAAAGAATGAATATCTGTACAGGAGTTAGTTTACATTGGCAGCTCACAGTTAATCTTATGGTAAGTTACTACTGTCATCCACAGTGACCTAAAATTAATTAAGTCCCATCTTAATGATATACATTCTCAGTATTAGCTTTAGCTGAATAGTGCTGTACTTTGGATAATACAATTCATCCAGTTATACTGGTCCTCAAGGTCCTTTCAATCAGCCTTATATCATAATTCTCCTTTGTATTAATAACTGTGTCATCAGCAAATTTAGTATTGTATCACAGTTATTCATTAAATAAGAGTAGTCCACAAGACTAAGAAACTCAAGCAAACTCCATATAGCTGATAGGTTAATCTATCAATACACACCAATGTGCTCCCCTAAAAGAAACATGCATTTCCCTTCCTCTTTAGCCAGCCTCTTTCCCCTTGAAGTTCTGTGCTATTCCTTTTTCCCCTATGAAAAATATTTTGAGGGTTGTCCAGATTACATGTGCTTTATTTTTCTGCCCAGAAAACCAGTTACCCTCTTAAGGGGCATGCCTTGATTTCCCATTTTCCCTTGGTTAACTGTTGTACTACAACACGAAATAACTCACGCACTCACTTAGGATGTAAAAGAAGGAAAAGAGGAAGTTTTATTTTTGACTTTGTAATATATAGAATTTTAAAAGTGATAGTGGATTGGAGGAAGAAATTGTTACTTCTCTAACCACACTGGTCAAACTAACAGTCTATTAATTCTCTCTTCTCACAAAGAAGAATGAAAAACAATTATTATTTACATGAACAGTGTGTGAGAACTCTAGTAGAAATATGTAAACATCGGAAGGCATAGAAAACTTTTAAAAGAACTTTAAAACATTTAAAAGAACAGGGCAACAGTTAACCAATATTGACTTGTATTTAATTGCTTATCTTCATAACTTCCTTTAGCATTATTCCCTTGAAGATACATTCTGAAGTATCTAGTGCATCTGACTGCATTTACAACCATTCCAAATGTTTCTCTCATATTAAATGGAGTTGTCTTTGCTATTCTTCAATCACACAGAAAAATCTTCATCTTGATAAATCTGTACTTGAAAAACTCTTTGCTACTAGAACTAGAGTTAAACATGCCAGTACTCCTAAATCTCATGCTTACAGAGTATCTTGTTCCCCTGGCTTCATGAACACATTCGCTGAAGGAGCAGCATGCTGTCTGACAAAAGGCTTCATGCAGGTGAGTCAGAAATGCATTTGTGAAGCTGGAAGAACAGAGAGAAAGTAAAAAAAGGCAGCATAGGCAAAGGGGTATGTATTTTCATATGAAGTTTAACAAATGGTGCTATGCCGTAAGATCTTGTCAGTCCTAGAATAGTATTCCAGAACTTCTGAAAATGACAACAAAGGCCTTAAGCCCAAGAACCAAGGCTTTACCTTGCCACTTCAGGACCAGGACAAGCAGCCTCACCTGGCTGCATAACAGAAAATAAAAAAGAGCAAATTTTACAGTCTGCAAAGCACAGGAGGCATCAGGTCTCCCACTGGCCAGCAGCTGCATGTTCTTCAGGTGCACAGTGCACTGTGAGTATTAATATAAATCACAGTACGGTGACATTCTTTTGTCAGCAGAAATAGCTATCCAAATCAGTAATTAAGCACATACTGACACTCCTGCAGGAGACAAGAAAAAAAAAAAAAAAAAAGAGAAACCAAAGAATTTGATTGCTAAGTGAAAACCTACATCAGTTGCTGACATGCACATTTAACTGTTCATGGTGCTGAATTCAGTTACACGAATCCCAAAATTAAAGGTACTGGTCAAAACATTCTCTGACTTAAGCATTCTTAGGAGAAGTCTTCATTATTTTATAAAAAATCAAAATATTAATTGAAAAAACATACAGTATTTATTATGTAATACTGCACAGAAGGGACCAAACCACAATCCCTGGGCTACTGATCTGCAGGAATGTAAATTTACAGCTGGGAAGAACAGGATCTGTTACCAGTTCTCTTGGGCTCTCAGACATACTGGCTTAAATAGCTTGGAAACTATTGACAAAGTAACAAAATATGCATGCACTGACATGAGTATGCAAGCAAATGACATAATTCCTTAACTTATTAACATGGGTTATTATCTTCAATTTACAATTTCCTGGTATTTAAATAACTGTTGATCTAAAAATGCCCTAGGGGTATAAAGCAAACCTGTTTCATTTGTCTGATTTGTAGTTTTACTAAGAGTTCACTCTGTACTGTCAATAATTGTATTTACCAGGAGTTTAACAGCTGACTCTCTGTTAGGACACGAAGGTGAACTTCTCATTGACAAAGCCTTGTCACAACATACCAAAGCTGGGCCTCTTTCAGGTCACAAAGGCTCAGAAAGATTAATGTTACAAAGGCTTTAGAAAGATTACTGCTACTGTAATACTGAGCAAACGTTTAGTTCCCTTGGTTATCCCATTTCAAAGCAACTCAACCAATGGCTCTTGTACAACCAGTTGACACTGTGGCAGTGAAAGTCACCACGTCTGTGTAGGCTGTTCTGAAGCTCGTTGCTTATTACAAACAGGCATGTCCCTTCTTTCAAATTGAGATTTAGGGCCTGTGATTCAGTCCCTCAGTCTAGAATATGGAGCTCAGTACAGATCAAGAGAAAAAGCAGCTGCACCCCTCACATGAATTCTTACAGAAAAAACCAGAATACTCCTATCTCCCATAAAAACATGTCCACAGTTATATTAGAAAGCATAATTCAACACAGTTTGGCAAATCATTTGCACATTAAATCTTTCTTCCAGGACAAAGCTGGAAATTGTACAACTATAAAAGAACATGTAATTACACCTAGGAGTAACAGCCAAGAACTTTTCTGCCCAAGTTTTTTTTCATTATTTTTATTCAGTGTCAGTGTTAAGTCAACCACACCAGAATTTCAGAGTAATCTGTTTCTTTTGCTTCTGCAAATTTACTTTTGCTTATATGCAGTAAATAAGAAGAGAGAACATGAAAAATATTGTAAACAAGCTTTTTTTGTCACTTGTTTTGAATCTAAACAACCTGTAGGGAAAGGTACTTCTAATGAAGGAATTCATGAAGAGTGCTGCAGTCCCAGTTCCTGTCAGTGAGATGGTCCTGTTGGACATCACTGCCTCCAGCTCAGTACTACATAAATTAGGTTTGATGGCTGTACTGTAAAAGGTATAATGTAAAACACACAAACCATGCACACCAAGAAGGGGGAATCTGAATTCTCTAAGTGTCCCAGAGCTGAGGTGGGGGTTTTTGCCACGTGCCAAAGTCACTGCCTCAGCTCACGGGGCAACAATGCTCACTGTGGGGGCAGAAGTGGCACTGCTCCCTCCTGACTGGCAGCCTGACCTTCCCCTCTCTGCCACAAATCCACTTACCAGGACAACTCCTGCAACGTGTCCTCTCTGCCACAGAAAGAGCAATTTACTCACTGGGGTCTGTTCTACACAAAAAACCCAAGAGCAATGTCTCCATCTCTAAAGGCACATTGCCCTGGTATTTCTGTGTGGGAAGAACAGTATTTTACACATTTTTTGGGGGATTTCTAAGTATTTGAGACATGTTTAATGTGGACAAGACATATTTACAAGCACATAAACTCAAGGGTGTGTAGGTATTTCTGTCCAGACAAGCCTAGGAAAAATTCTAACAAGACTGAGTAGTGCCAAAAAATACACTTAATCCTGCTCTAATAATTAGATTGTTAATAAACTACACTGGTATATTTTACATGAACTATACCACAAATGAATTACAGGGGAGTTCCTGCTCCCTGAACTCACTTCCTGTCACTGATTTAAACTCATCTTGTACAGAACATCAGGACCAAGCATCAAAAGCTCTTTAGCCTTGCTCACAGAGTATGAATTGGAATAAATTCCTCATATTGTGCATTGGTAAGTCACTAATTGTCGCTGTGAAGGCAGGATGGGAAAGAAAATGATTCTAACATCAGAAGGCAAAGAATTAAAAACCTTATTAACAATTAGTGTTCTTCTTTTATAACCAAGATTGCTAAGGTGAAATATGATTGGTCTCAAGTGAAAACTTTTCACACCATTGGTGCACTATGAATAGCACACGGTGGCAGAACATATCTATAAACATGAACAGAAAGAGATAACAAATGGTTTGCATTACTCTCTGACTTTTTCCCAGGCTCAGCCTGGCAGAAATCTCTCCTTTTCTCTCTGACTGAACTGAGAGTATCCATAATTAATGATGACTACCTGGAACTGAAAAGAAAACAAAAGAAAAGGTAGAGAAAACAACCGTCTGTTTTCCCATCTTCTCGCAAAGCCAGGAAAGACCTGCAAATACCAAGTAGAAGAAATAATTGTAAGTGTGGCTGTAATTGTACTTGAACCTACGGTTGCAGTCTATCACCTACAAAGCTCCTGGCTTTTAACTCTCTCCCCGTCTCACAGCAAGACGCTCTTCTGAACATCAGCCAGCCCTTTAGAAGAAATAAAAACCTTCCATTACAATTTATTTCGCCGTCTTTCTACGGCACGATACGGCTGCGAAGCGCACGGATCACACAAGAGGTACAAAGAACCTTGCTGCGACCTCGGTGGCGTTCGCTCCTTCCCTGCAGCTATTTGCAGCACGTAGCTCTACCCGCAAAAGACAATAACAACAGGAGCACAGCAACACCCAAGCGAACGCCAAGAACGAGCCTCAGTCACCGCCCGGGCAGCGCCGCTGAGGCGCGGCCGCTCCCGCCTTCCCGCCGCGCCGCTCCCGGCCGGCGCCGCGCAGTGACGTCACGCGGCAATGGCGGCGCCCAGGCGCGCACGCGGGCGGTAGCGGCGGTAGCAGCAGCAGCGGCAGCCGGGCCGGGGATCCCGCTCCGTTACCCTCCGTTCCCCCTCCGTTCCCCCTCCGTTCCCCCTCCGTCCCCCCTCCGTCCCCGCTCCGTCCCCGCTCCGTCCCGGGGCTCCTGAGCGCGGTAAGCGCTGGGCCGGCCGCAGGGAGCAGCTGCCCGAAGCTCCCGCGTGTGGCGGTGGAGGCCGTGCTGGGCCCGCCGCGGCTCCGGTGGTTCCCGGGGCGGGAGCGCTGCGCGGCCTGCTGCGGGGATTTATCCAGCGGTTCTGCTTGTATCTCCGCAGGTGTTCCAGGAGGGACGCAGGAGGCCTGGCCTGCCTGTTGTATTTAGTTATATTATAGTTATATTTAGTTATATTATAGTTATATTGTTATAGTTATAGTTATATTTAGTTAGTTATATTATAGTTATATTATTGTATTATAATAGTTATATTATTGTATTATAGTTGTTTAGTTGTTATAATATATATTATATTATAGCTGTTATTATATACTATAGTTGTTATATTTAGTTATTTAGCTATATTATAGTTTGTTATACTTTAGCTATATATATGTTAGCTCGAAGTAATATTTAAGTAATGATACTGATATAATTAAAGAAGAAATAAGAATATTATATCTTAAGAAATGTATTTTAAGAAGAAATAATTATTCCCTGGGTTCCTGTTTGCTTAAATATCAAGGTGGTCTCCATTCCTTGTATTTGAAGGCTTTTTTTTTTTTTGTTTTCTCCCTCGGTTTCTTTTTTTAGATAAAAAATGAAGGCCAGAAAAGGAGGAAGATTTAGGTCTTCCTTTAAATTGAAGCGAAAAGGCATTGAAGTAGTAGGAGAATGGAAAACCGTGCAGATCGACCCCAATCTATTTGCTGAGGAGGAGTTTCGAGATATAGTGTGCTTGGAGGAACTCACAGACTATAAGCTAGTAAGTTCTTCCAAAGTGGGGAAGGTAAAAGAGAAGAGAAAGGCTGAGAGTGCTTCTGAAGAAGGCAATGAGGAGGTGGAAGAACCTGTCATCCCTCCAAAAAAGAAAAAGAAAAACAAAGATTTGAGAAGCCAAACAGACAAAGACAATACTCCTAATGCAGCAGAAATGGATGTGCTGGTTGCTAAAGAGGCAAAGTGTAATGAAATAATTGAAGAAGCTAATTGTGAAGACCATGGACCAGTGACTGAGAGCATGTCAAGCAGAAGAGACACTCCAAAGAAGAAGAAAAAGAAGGTACCTAAAAACAAGGCTTTTCAAACACAGGAAGCCCTTCCATCAGTAGCTACTTCTAAAAAAGTCAAGAACTGGACAACAGAAGTTTTATCTGCCTCAACTGATCAAAAAGCTGATGTGTCTGCATGGAAAGACCTGTTTGTACCTGAGCCAGTGTTGCAGGCCTTGAGCTACCTGGGGTTTAGTGCTCCAACTCCCATTCAAGCCTTAGCCTTGCCTTCTGCCATTCGGGATAATATGGACGTTCTTGGTGCTGCGGAAACAGGTACAAGTCTGTTCAGCTGATGGTGTATGCTGGGAGCATCCAGTTTCTCTCCTTAAAACGTAGCCTATGGTTGCAAGTTTTTATATGCAGAAGAAGCAGTTTTTCTGTATTGTAAGAGAAGAGCTTTTGTCTTTTGCATTTCCAGTGTATTAGAGTTTTCAAACTTTGAAACTTACATGTTTGTAAATATTGTGATTTTGAGGTTTGTAAACGTAAATGGTGAAACTTACATGTTTGTAAACATGGGAACTCCCATCTTTACAAAGCATGCAAAGCTTTGCAGTCTCAGTGAGTTTCTATGCTTTTGGCAGAAGTCTCTTTTCCTGTTTCTCAGACTGTTTCCTGTTTTGGGAACGGTAAGGTGATATTCTGCAAAAGGCAGAATTAATGAAGCAAACAGGGTGGTTTCTGCAGCAGCCAAACACGTGCTCCCAGGTTCCCGTGGAGATCATTCATGCTGGTGTGGAGCAGTAATAAGCACTGGGCACAGTGTTAAGTGTGAATATGACCCAAGTCCTACTCAGAGCAAAACGGGCCCACCCTGTGCTCTGTCCCCAGGCTTTACCTTTTATGTTGTCACCAGCCCTTCTCCCTGCTTGTGCTTAAAGTGAGTTCTTACTTTAATGATTTGAGGGGTAGAGTCACGTCCCTCTTGTGCTCAGCTTATGCTTCAAGTATTCCTAGCCTTCATGAAATTTGTTATAGCTACTTGTTTACTTAATGCTGTGAAATCTCTGAAAATTATGTTCCCTCAAACTTTGTTGGTGGTTCATAGCTTTGAACTTTTGTCTTTAGCAACATTTTTTTCCCCAAAACACCTAGAAATAGGAAGCACAATTAGAAGCTGCCTTGGTTAAAAAGCTTCCTTTACACTGTTTTCATCTGTTCCAGTTGCTTTATCTCAGTGCTTCTCTATGTAAAGTCATTTACTGCTCTTCAGCAAGAAGGTAACTAAGATATGCAGTCATTTGCATTTTTATTTTAATTAGAAGCTGCGTTGATGCTATTAGCTTTAGTAAGATTAGAAAGCCCCCGCAGGGAGTGTTTTTAAAAATGGAACTGAAAATTTAAATGATGTTTTTGTACTGCAAAAAAGTGCCATTTTGGCAGCACTGGTAAGCACATTCCTCTCTAGCTGTAGAATGGAAAGCAGGGTTGTTGGCAGGCTGTGTTGTTGATTTATAATTTTGTATAACCCTGAGGTAGTAGGAATGTGTTTTGCTCATTTGTTCTTTCATGAGTGAAATCCAGATTCTCTCCAGAGAGTCCATGGGATCATTGTATTTCTGTAGAAACTTGGGAGATGTGGACAGCTGCCTGTCAGGAAGTGCTGCAGTTGGGAGAGGTTGAAACTCTCTAGTTCTTTTGCATCTTGCAGCACCTCTTAGCATTGGGCCTGAGGGAGGAATATGCAAAGTTAAAAAGCTAATAATCTTTTCTAGTAGCAACATTGGGAAGACTGGGAGGATTTTGATAAGGCAGTAGATCTATGTGCAGATCAGACAAAGGGAATGTCAAGGCTTGTTTTTGCAGTGGGTCTAACCCTTGCTGTTCATTTCTGTGTAGAACTAGTAAAGTTTTTGGTTAAGGAGTTAAATCTGTGTGAAATTATACAATATAAAACTGTTTAAAAGAGCACAAATTGGCTTGAACTGTAGTACCAAGATATTCCTTCCTCCTGGTTTTGCACGCCTGTCTGTGCTATGTGGTTTGTGTATTATAAAGATAACATGTCCTCTGAGGTGATAATTTGTTTTAATTTGTGGGTGAATCTAGTGCTGGTGGAATAGTCCTGATTATCACAGCCATAATCTGTCTGGGTGCAGTACTGGCATTTGCACCAGCAAACTGCATTATGTTTAATTCAAAATAGGTGGTGGTCTTCACCTTAAAAAGAGATATTCTGTATTACCAGAACTTTATTGTATAAGTGTTCTAAATGCAGGTTATAAATACTTTCTGCTTCAAGTGCAGGTAGAAGTCATAAAATACCTCCCAGCCATGCAGAAAGGAGTGGATACAAGACTTTGTAGCAACAGTGGCCAGGATGTTGACACTAGTCTGTATTAACTCATACTAAGGTTCTTCCCTTAAACAGGCAAAATTCTGTGTTGCTAGGCAAACCTTTACAGCTTTTTGATATGGAAGGAACTGAGATGAGGTTTGCAGAGGACTGCTTTCCAGCAGTGGTCTATTACAGGCATGGTGTAATAGTGTCTTGTACTCTGGATGCTGCTTTTATGATTAGTGAACTGCTACATCTGAAAAGCTTAGCTGGAGTGGATGTGCTACCATGCTTTTCCTAATGTCTTTATTACTGACAGGCAGCTCAGAAGGGAATATGTGGCAGGGATGTAACTTGCAGTTAGTACAGTGAACCCTTGCAATTAAACTTGCTTTTGACAAGCCTTGTCTTTCCAAAGTGGATTCTCTTTTTTAAATTAGATGTATGTGTTCTGATAGTAAAAATATGACCCAGAGCTAGATCAGGAAATTAGACAGCGGAATATTTCAAAATACAGTATCTTGGAAAGTTGTAAATACAGGACTATAAACTGAAGATGGAAGCTAATCCTTCAAGTGCATTCCAGTTTGTCCTTGGCCTCATTTGCTATTCCTTTATTTGGAGAATGTTGATTAGAACTTTCAATTAGGGCATGGTATTCTCCTTATGGGCATACAGTTCTTTAAAAATATCTTGACTGCAACTGCAGCTTTTTAAAAACACTTTTAGAAAAAATAAATATGCCTGACTTGCTAGAGATTGGAAAAATACCTGTTCCCCAGGAACAGGGAAATGGAGATGTATAAAGGGAGCAGGAGAAAAGATGCTACTGCTGCAAGTTTCTGGTCTTCTAAAGATCATGAGTTTGCAACTGTTACAATTGTGTGTTTTAAGAACAGTGTGTGATTGGCTGTTGCTTTTCTCATCTTTTCAAATAAATGACTTGTCAGTCTGTGTTATTATTCTTGTTTGGTTTTTTTTTTTTTTTTTTTTTTAGGAAGCGGCAAAACGCTTGCATTTGCAATTCCGATGATTCACTCTGTGCTGCAGTGGCAAAAATCAAGTAACTCAACAACCAGAAATGACAGTGTTTCTAAAGAGTCCCATCAGCATCATGATGAACCAAGATGGGAAGATGAGGATGAAGCAGAAAAACTAACCCATCAGCAAGCTGAAGATAGTGGAGATGAAGATGATGCATCTTTCACAACAGGCTGTGTGAAGGTGCTGGAAAATGTTGAATTTGATTGTGATGATGAGACACATACTGGTGACTCCAATAAAAAGAGACCTCTTTTAGGACTGGTCCTTACTCCTACAAGAGAATTGGCTGTACAAGTAAAGCACCACATTGATGCAGTTGCAAAGTTTACAGGTATGTAAATCCCACAGGCCATGTTCCACAGCCAGATTAGACTGTTT